CAGCCAGGCCTTAGGAGGAGTGGCACGGAGGGCGCTCCCTCCCCTGCGTCCCTGTGACCCAAAGCCAGGCCTGCCCGGGTGCTGCTCACAGCTCCCTCGGGCACCCGCTGCCCCCCAGGATGCCCCCGGCGCCTTGCTGGGGTCCGGGGTGGCCCCTGGGTGGGTGCTGGGAGCAGTGCCCATGGGGCGGCTGCATCGGGAGGTCTGAGAGGCTGAAAAAAAGTGGGGAGCCGTGGGGGAAACGACCTTTACAATGACATGCGGTCGGAGGTTGAGCTCCTTACAGCCCTGAAGGAAGAGGATACCAACCGTTCAGCCCTAAATTATTTTATAAGTTTCATGGGAATTGCTTCACCCTCCTCTGAAATGCAGCAGCTGTTCGCCACTGCCCAGCGTCCCCAGCGTTTTGGGGCAGGAGGCGAAGGAGGGTCCTGCGAGCATGGTGACAAGGGGACCGTGGGGAGGGAGGATGCAGCAGTCCACGCTGGGATTTGGCTGGGGCAGTGACAGGAACATCCTGTAGCCCCTCTGAAAATGCTGCATCCTTCATAGGTGATGGTTTGTTTGCTGCAGAGGTGCTTCAAGCATCATCATTGCTTTTTGTAGGCTATTTTGTCTGGTCCAGGAAGGTGAAACCCTTAGCAGAGACCCCAACACCTCTTCCTGCAATGCATGTGTATGTGTGTGTTTGGGGGGGAGGACTTTTGTCCCCATCTGAGAAGCCTTTCATGCAACTGTTGACCCAACACAAACTTCCCAAGCTAAAGAGTCCAGCTGAAAGTGGAATGGCCCCTGTCCATCACACCCATGCAGCTGGATGGAGTCTGCTCCGTACCTTCACCACTCTTCTAGCACAACTGTTTAACCCCTCCCGTCTCATTATAGTAATATGTTTATGATATCACCCTCGAATTTCCTGCCCTTAACAACCCCAGAAGGCTGGGAGGGAATGAAGCATTTTTGGAAAGTATTTAATGTTACTTCAAGAGGGCAGGAGGCAGTCGGAAAATAGATGGGTGCAGGAACCCTGGGCTGACGGGGCTCTCTGCAGGACAGCCGAGGAAAAGGACCGCACCTAGCAAGAGGTGCGTGTTTGCCTTTCCTACCTGGGGCTGCAGCCTGGGTCTAGTGCCTATCGCTTCACTCCCTTGCTTGAAAATGAAACAGGGCTGTTGTTTACCGCCTGCTCATCTGCTAGATCTGCTTGACTCCTTGTCTTCCTTGAAGGTCTTGAAAAGCAGCCTGGGTGTTGTAAAAAGACAGCCCATCTATTCATTTGAACATGCACTGCAGGGACTTTGCTTAGCACCAAGCTGAAGCCCCCCAGACCTAGGGAGGGAAGATGAAGGTCCCCACAACTGGACTCTTGTTTCTGGAGGCTTCTCCTCTCTTGACAGCAGCTAGCGGGGGCAGGTGCTCCAAGATGCGGTGTTAACAGCCTGAGTTATTACGCGCTCAGGATTGAGTGTGTGCACTCAGTTCTCCCATACAGGCATTTTTAAAGGCTTTTTGATTCTCAGTGCTCCAACGTTGCCTTAGAGGAAGGAGTCTGGAGGGACAGAGAGGAGTGCAGTGACAAGTCTGTACAAAACTGGATGTTTCAGCTCAAAACTCCTGGGTAGCGGAGAGGAAGGGATGCGTGAAGCGAAGCTGTGGTGTCTGCCAGGGGATTTTTCTGAGCTTACTCTTTTCCTCTCTGTAGGTGTTCATCTCGGTGGGGCCACACTGACCATGCTCAGGAGCTTCTGTCTCCAGCTCATGTCCTTGGTTTGGATCCTCTTGGCCCATCACCAGCTTGCCCAAGGTGAGTCTCTGTAGACATGGGTCCTTCTCTCTTACATCCATCTTTCCAAACCTGTCCTTGGCATTGCTGAAGTCTCCTAGTTCTCCATCCAAAACAGAGCTGGCCTGACCTGGAAGACCAGAAAATGCTGCTCAGTCATCTGGCACCTGGGGGGTGACTGGTGGCAACCGTAGAGACCCCTGCTCTGGTACCCATGGGGGTGGTGGTGCCTGAGCAGACGAGCAGTGAGAGGTCCCGCTGCTCTGTCTCTCTCAGTTAGGCTGAATGGGTCGCTGAACCGATGAGTCTGTTCAGAGAGGCACGGTGAGGGGGAAAGAAGATCCCAAAACTGAATGGCTAATCCTGGATCCCGTGAGACAAAATCCCTTTCCAAAGATTAGTTTGCTCTCCCCCGGCTCTGGATAAGCAATGAATTCCCAAAGCCATCTGCCAGGAGAGAGGGTTACAAATAGGACAGGCGACAATACCCAGACTTGGGCTGAGCAGTCCCAGGATGCTGCTCTAGCTCCACGGTGGCTTATTTTGGGAGGCTCTTATCCTGAGCAGTGGGACCTACTGCCTCACTGCAGCAAAAACGCATGCATGGGGGATTTCTCCCCCTGCTTGCTTCCTAGGCAGCACATGACGCAGCTTGGGGAAAGCCTGAGCGTGCCTCTTGGCGTGGGGCCTTTAACCTGCCCCGGTCCGGGGTGGAGGGGCTCAGTCAGGTAAGGGCATTTATCTCCTGGGCTGGTCCTGCGATCACACTGGGCTCCTGGAGAAACCCCCTGCCTCCTGACATTTGCTCTAGCTCTACTGCGCATGGAGCCAGAGAGAGCCAGCTCCCCATGGGGCTAAGGTACAAGCAAGTGATGGGGGAAAGGGAAAGGTGGAAGTGAAAGGGGACACCTGGCTGGAGAAAGCAGGCCAGCACCGAGTGGAGGATGAAAAGTGGCATGTCGAGGCCATGGCTCAGTTACAGCTTCTGCAGCCTTTAAATAAATAAACAGAACTGGATACTTGGTCCCATGCGATGCCCAGTCCTGCACCCCACACTGGAGGGGGAGTGTTGGCAGCTGGGTCCTGGTGGAGGGCAGGAGGCCCGACCAGACCTCTCCATGCCAATAGCTGTCCCTGGGGATGGGGACATCCTGGGAGATAAAGAGGAGCCGTTCTTTCTGTTTCCATCCTTGGTCCCTTTGTGCCCCTCACAGTACCTAGCCCTGAGCTTTCCCATCATACTTACTGCATGACCATGGGACCAAGGTCCCAGGTGGGTCAGGCCCTATTACAAAGGTTGCCTTAATGCATGGGCAACTCCAGCTCTTGCCCAGAAGGGCCCGAAGTCTAAGGGAGGCAGAGAGAGGGTGGGAAAGATGGTCAGAGACCAGGTAGTTTTGAAGCGGGGTCCCATTTCTCAATAAAGGCAGTGTTATCGCTGCTTGAGTGACTGCGAAATCCTCATCTCTCATGTGGCAGCCAGCCACTGAAAGGAAGGTCCCCCACCTTAGAGTTCTGGGGAAGGGCAGGCTGAACACTTTGGAAGGAAGAAAAAGCTGTGAGCCGGCAGGGCCATGGGCAGATCTGGAGTCATCTACGGTGTGTGCTTAATCCAACTCCACCCGTCTCCTGCCTTGTAGGTGATGACTGCAGCGAGCGCTGTAATCTTGCCCACGGCTGCTGTGACCAGGATGGGAAGTGCAGGTACGGCTTGTCTTTGGCTCTCCGCTCCTGCTGCCCCTGACCGTAACTGCTCTCCCTCCCTTGATGCTGTGTCCCCGGTGCCCACCCCTACCCCACTCACCCACACCTAGAATCGACAACTCTGCTCTCTTTTTACCTGACACCCTTTGGAGTGGGAGATTTTGATCCTTCAACCTCTTGCTGGTCCCCTCCAGCCTTTGCTCCAGTGCTTCCAGGGTCCCCCCCGCCACACACTGACCGATGTCATTCTGCTGAGCCCTTTTTGTCTAGATGGGAGCTTAGGACAGCCCGGCCGTGCCTGGGTGATGGGAGGCAGCCTTCAGGCTCAGATACAATGGGGAAGGTCGTCAGACAGCAGGGCAGGCTTGGGGGTCGGCCAGCTTGCTTGGCCTCCTCACTGGTTGAGATGGGGATGCTCTCCCTGGGGGCGCGGAAAAGAAGAGCTGGCAGCGTGCACGTAAATGTCTGAGGGCGTCAGGGTCCCCTCTCAGAAGCCTGGGCTGTGGTGGGGGTCTCCAGGTGTTTTCATAAACATCTCGCCAGCAAGCTGTGGGCTACTGCAGCAGAAGTGCGTGCATGATCCCTGGCATCCCAGCTCCAACTGGTGTCCAGATCCCAGAGGGGCAGAGCTCAGCGCCTGACCCTGCACTTCAGCCTGGGAAGCAACCACGTGGCTGCCCCGGGCTGCCCCGGCCCCAGGCACTGCCTCTCGTCCCACCATAGGGCCACCCAGAGCCCCCATCCTGCAGGGCAGCCCTGGGAGGAGCAGGCTGCTTCGGGCTGGCCTGGACCCCTGTGCTGCAAGGGGACAGACTGCCCGCCGCCACCCTGTTCTCCTTGCTGGGGCATGCTCAGCCCCCTTTCACAGCACAGCCCCGTGTCACACCACACCTGGGCCACTTGTTCTCGCCTAATGGAGCAGATGTGGCCTGGCGGTGACCGTAACCGCACTGACTGCTGCATCAGGGAGCGTCCAGCTCTGGTTTTGCTGGACCCCCGGTTGCAGCTGCAAAAAGCTCACTCCTCCCTGAGCCCTTTCAGCGGCTGTGGCTGGTCGGGTGAGCTCAATGCTGCAAATCCCCGGCCAGAGACGCCGCACTTCTCCATGTGGTGGGTGGGCCAGCTGCAGGTCTTCCCGGTGGAGGCACATGTGAGTTGCTGCTCCAGATTTCAGGCCTCCAGAGCATTTGCTGAACCCTTCAGCAGCTTGGCAGTACCCCATTGAAATAACCCCAAACTCAGGGAGATAACTCTTTGGAACAACCTGCAGTGACAATAGCCAGTCCAGGTGTGAAAGTGCAGCCTCGGACCAGCCTGGCAAAGCTGCAGGCACTGCACATCATGCTGAAATGAGTCCCAGCCATGAAAATGAACCCCCTTGCTCACTCCAGAGACCGTGTTGTTTTTGTTAGGTTTAATTTCATGCTGGTTTTAGTATAGCTTTTGTTGTGGCTGGGGGCGCCCCCACCCCCCTCTCATCCTTTTTTTCCCT